CACTACGTCGATAAATATACAAGAGCTTATCGCAGCGTGCAGAATAAATGCGCGATATCGTCAAGCTTGTTGAACGATATCCTAAAAGTTATTTAACAAATCTTCTATTTAATATTGCATGAGATGACACGGTGTGTCGTGCCAGCGCTCTTATGCAGATCGCCGTCAATTAAGCAATTGATCGACAAGAAATGCCGGAAGAAAATGCAACCATCGCAGTAGATAGATTCGATAAACGTATTAGTTTAAGTACGTGCGTTACTGTTATTTACTTGCCATATCAAGATACCATATCCGAGCATATCACGTGTGTAATAATAAATGAAGCAGGATAAAAATCATAGACTGCCGTTGGACTAGCATCACAAGTTCATATACCTACACACTTTCATACAGTTTTTAACATCCGCGAGAGTATTACTGATCGATTTTACAATAGCGCGTCGTTCGAGAAAGACGAACGAGTAGTGCTCGTCCATATATTCGACTGTCCGCTACCAGCAGGACGTGTCCACACATTGCCAACGGTTTTTCAACGATATTGTACAAGTGCTTGAAACGCTTTTTTTTTTACTCGCGAATTTCCACTTTTCCAATTCTCTATAATACTTCGATTTAAAAATTCCGCGAATAATTATTGTGAATTTATTTGTGAATATCTCTCGAAACTCAAAATCTTTTGTTTTCTTACTATTTTAATCATGGACCATTGTGACGGTTTAATCAGGATTATGTATATCAACATTAGTTCTGATATTTATTTAAAAAAAAAATAAAATTGAAGTATGTGTCACATGGCACAGAGCATATTTTTACATATAAAGCGGCGTCTACAATGAGATTTTAAGGAATAGAATTTAAATTTTAAGCTTTAAGAAATTGACCGAACATGTTCGATCGTTCTCTTCACATTCGGCTGTGATTGGTCAATTTCTTACAACTTAAGTCTTAAAGCTTAGGATGAATTTATGTTGCACAATAAGAATATTTATCAGTCGGTAAATCTATTATATAATCTATTCTATAAAATTAGTAACATCTCGATTAAAATACAAAAAGGTTATATAATATTCTTAACTATAATATTTTTATAATTATAAAAATTATTTTACATATAACTGTAAGAAATTTAGAGGAAGAACATACAACAGAAGCTATCAGGGCTGTGTGGCTTGGATAAAACAGAAGTTTATCAATATAGGAAAGATCCAGTTCTCGATTCGAGTATGAGCGCCCTGATATTTTTCTCGTGTTGTCGCTTATTTCTTTACATAATTTTTTTGAATTAAAATGACTTTTCCAAAAATAAGACATATTTATGACTCAAATTAGATTTCAATATACATCTTGAGCGATGCACAAGTGTTAATTAACGAGAATTTAATTAATTCACGTTTGAATTACGTCTATGCTTTATTTTGTAAAATTGAACAAAAGGCTGTGTAAAACATTTTGCAATAAACTATTCAGAAAAGCATTGGATAAAAAATTTTAGATTTTATCGTTTAGTAAAGATTTCTTACAATATATATTTTGTTTCGCGGAGAACATGTGAAATATGGAAATTCGCAATAAGCACAACAATACAAATGTTAACTTTTGCGACGAAGCGACAGGTAGGCCGTTCGAAAATCGCGCGATCGCGATCGAAATGCGTTTCGACAGATGGACTCGATAGAGATAGCAAATTATTGTATACCGATTAGAAATAGTGTAAACGGACGCGTTCCGTCGATTGATCGCGCGATCGATCGGTTGGACAATGATCATGAGCAAACAACGGGGAACTTCGAGCCGCTTGGTATAAAGTAATTCAGTGCTTAAAAAGCCGAAAGAGAGGAACACTAATTATATCTCCGTAAATATCCTATAATATATTCAAAACAAAAAAAAAAGATAACCAAAGCATTGTAACCTTCTAGAGGCAAAGAAGAAATAGCGAAGTACCTAATCTTATATAATTTAGTTCGACCATTGATTTGTCCGTGTGTGTTCGTTACTGAAATATATGTTTCTTTAGTAAAAAAATTTTGGAAAATTTACACTCATGTGTTTTATTAATAATGCCTCTCTATACACACACACACACACACACACACACACACACACACACATTATAATCTATGTTCATTAAAATGTCTAATTTGTGTAAAAAAAGATGAGTCCATATATTATCTTATTAAGGGCCAGTTGTTCCATCCTCGGATAATATTATTAATAATATTATTAATATTAAAAAATATCTCCTATATGGTAGCTTTAAGCAGGCAGCTGATGCACATAAATGCATAGAATGGCAGACACATCCTAAGACAAGTAAATTAAGAATTTTACTTCTGAATCGAGCTTGTACTTCATTAGAATTGCCCATCATAACAGCAATTATCTGCAGCAAATTCTATAATATAAAATTCATTTATTAAGAACTGTTTAAAATAAATACTTACTTATATTATTTATTTAAACCTATCAATAATATTTTCAAAAGATATTCCATTTTCTTCATAGAAAAATTCTATGGAATTGTAAAAATCTTCTGCTATGCAAGATTTTATACCCAATAAAGTTAAAAACATATCCCTATAATAATTAGTTTCCGTACCAGTACTCTACCAGTATCCTGCTATGCAGTACCCTACTAGATCCTTACTAGTATCTTATCAGTACTCTATTAGTATTCTATTAATACCTAATCACATTAAAAAAATATAAGGCGCAAAAAGGATTAATTATAAGGACCTAATAAGAATCGCCTAATCAGGCGAAAGACGTTCCGAACGTTACATTAGTTCTCAGGGCCTGATCAGGTTTCCTCATCACTGCCTGATCAAATATTAGGCTATACTTGTTTGGACCCTGTCAGAACCCATCTACAATTTCTGTTAGGGAAGAAATACCTTGTCTTCAATGTAATATTTTGCTTGATATTCGAGAGAGACTCCATGTAGGTATAATTTGTATTATATGGAGATATTTTCTTCACTTTATTTAGCTTTTTGGTTTCTTCACTTTATCTAGCACTTAAATATTGCATCTACGGTCTATAATTTACAAGCTAACAAGTCAAGTTAGTTAGTAATTATGAAGAAGAAAACATGTACTATTGAGTAATATTTTTTTTATTATTATAATAAATGTGTATCTTACAAATGCAATGCATTTGTACAGAACTTGCCGGTTACTTACAATTAGTGTGAATTAAAATTTTACATTCACAATGGTTCTAATACTTGCGTGTTCTTCGCAATTTTCCCGTAAAATCATTAAAATTTAAATCGAAAATAATTATTACCTTACGGTAGGAGTAGGCAGATAAAATTAATATTCAAATAATCGGTTTTTTATAATAATTTATTGTATAATACATTGCTTGCGAGCGTTGTTTTCTACATTGTTTGCGACTCACATTAATTAACTGCGACTACGACAGCAATGAACGCCAAATAGGCGCATATCAAATTGAAAGAACGAGAACCACGTGTCATGTTCGAGCAACATGAAAATTTACGCGACTTGCGTCTGCGCTGCCTCATTTCCTCGATCAGTGGCCAAGTCCACGGCCTGGAGGTGGACACAAGAAAAACGGTGGATATATGAATGACACAGGACTCAGGGACACGGTACAGGAAGAGGGAAAATACATACGTATACCTAGAAAGACCGTAAGAGCCAATTTGGCTCCAAGCACATTTTCTTCATAAACAACAAATGAAAAGAAATGAAACATGCAGATAATTATAACAAACGTTTAACAATCACTAATTTTAATCAATTTATTTTATTACAAAAAGCAGTTATTATATTATATTGAATTTTTTTTAGTCCTTGGTGAAAGATTAAATGTTAAATACAACGCCGTTATGTATTACATGAAACGCATTTATATGTTATTTTCTTCACACATTTGCCGCACACAAATTTTTTACACAAACATTTCCTAATTTTATAGTTTTTTTACACTTTTTTGGGGTCACTCTTTGTACTTTTTAAGTCTTTCTTTATATGTGTAATTATATGTTGAATAGGTAGTCGTAACAAAATTCTTGCATTAGTCATAGTACGATGCATTGTTCATGAAAAATTAATTAACTTCGATGTCTCTATTAATAACATTAATGTTTTATAGGCGTTTCGTAGGCAAACTAAAGCTATTGTTAAGAGTTATTCATCTAAGAGTGATGCATATCGTTTTTCCTTCCTAAAAAATAAACTACTTTTTCTGTATGCATATTTTGAAACTTTGATTTTTATTTTAAAGATAATTTTATATATAACTACAATACTATTACTATATTAGAATCAGTTTTAGACTTCAGTTATCGTTATAAGTTATAAAACGTTACTTTTTTTCTATGTTAATAAAAAACGCGCAAATTTTTTCACGAATTTGCAATATAAATCAATATTTTGTAAGAGCTTTATCAGTAAATTAGTCTTTTAGAGAAATTAATAAGTTTACATGATGCATTTACATGGATAATTATAATTACAATAATAACTACGTACAAGATATAACTACAGGAGATAGTTATTATCTAACCGCATAATTGATATCTTTATGCGTAAAACGCATATACATCAGTCATATGGAATAATCTTCGTACGAGACATACATTCGGATGACCTATACTTAATGGTAATATATCGCGATTACTAGGAACAGTTAGTGTGATCTTGAATTGCTGCAAATTGAAGATTATTTCTCGGTAAAGCAATATATATCTTTATTATATAAGGAATCACCAGTATCTATATTTTCAACTATATGAAGACTCAGACGACATAACTTAGAAATTGTAATGTCGCCGTACAGTTTCTTTTGATAAACAGATATTTTATTACATTAATTAGGCAATGAATATTAATAATTAATAAGTAATATATCTATCCTTGTAAATACAAATTTTTATTACAATTTAAGGTTTACATAAATCTTCAAGTTTTATAATAAGGTTTTGCATCTTATAGCAAAAAAATAATAATCTAATACATTATAACGCTTAAGAAAAAGAAATCTTACTACTACAATTATCTCTCGGTATATATACACAAGTCAGTACAGGCGGTACTTCGCAAATGCAATCAACACAATTGATATACTCTGAAAACGGCTGTAGTCTGTCTCCAATTTGCATTAGCAAATTACCAAATATGCACATATCTGAAAAAAGGAATATCATATGAATAATTATATTTTCTTAGAATACGATAAATATTAATAGTACGTCAATTATTTTATATCGCACACTTTTCTATATTCAGTAAATTTAATGCGCAATAAAGTGAGTTATATTTTGTAATTAGTTATCATTTTATAGGATCATTTTAATATTAACGTGCCACAGAAATTGATTTTACGATTGTACTTGTTATCCATATGCAATGTTTGTCGCAATTATCTTCTATTTGACGCGATTCACAATACGGTTGTGTAATAAGTTCGCTTGACCGTTCAAATGCGTGTCAATTTTATAATTTATATACTTCACATATTCATATGATTAGCGAATGGCAATCTGTCATGAAGTAATAAATTTTTTTTTCAAATATCCATAAAGTACATTAAAAATATTAATAATGAATGAATTTAAACAAATTAATAAGACAAAAAATTGAGATTTCTTCGACTTTGTTAATATACGCTAGAATTAATTTTATTTTTTATACACATAGATAATACTTCAATTTTCCAAGTTATTAACGTGCTTTAGAATTCGAATTGAATAACGAATGATTTCTTACAGAAACAATATATTATAATATAAATTGATAAAGAAAATATTGCTTACGTTTTTTAAAAGAATAATTAAAATGTATATATAACATAATTGTACATATCATTTAATGCCATGCGAATGTATGTATATATTCTAAATTTCTTAACAAATATAACAGGAATAATTTTTTTATCAGACCGACATAATATTCCGCGAATGCATATAGGATATTACAAAATAAATTTACATTTAAAAATAAATATTAAACATACTAGCATAATTATCCATTATAAAAGGTAATCGGCTAGGAATGACAACGTCATCAGGAACATCTGAAAAATTTAACAAAAATTATGTTAATAACACGGCGACGAAATGTGTACAGCATTCAAATTTCAAACTTACGGCATAACATCGTCTTATAACACGTGTTCTTTTCTGCGTGGTCATTAAAAACTGGAGCACAATTTCGACGAAAATAATCATTGTGACTGAATGCAGGGTGAAGACACGGGGAATGTTTAGGCTTGATACAGAAAGGTGGAATATTTTTACCTAAAATTAGAAAATTCCCAGTTCTAATAGATATTATCTTTATTACAACTTTAGAAATTATATAAGTTACTAACTGTTTGGTGTCACTTTATACCATTTTGTTACTTATCTATCACATAGGTGTTGTATGAAAATATCTTGTAAAAAAATGAAAATATAACAATACATACGTATATTTTTTCAATCGAATTGTCAAATATTAAAGATAACAAGCAAATATATTTTTATTAATAAAAAGGTTTCAGCGTATAAAGTGAAACACATCTCTATAGAGACAATGGCACCGAAAGATTAAAGGCAATGTACATTTATTACATGATAATAATTATTATTACCTTTGTACTCTGGTTGGCAGATGCAAATCAAATCGGGTTCTTCATTCACTACGAAATATTCACCATCACGATACATATGACCGTTTACATCACAAACAGGTATATCTTCCATTCTAACAGCTAAAACATATAAGAAGCATTACTTATACTTTACGATTATACTTTCTATAGTTTTATTTAATTATACATGTGTATATTTATATGACTGACCGGTTAACTAATCTTATCTATAAACTTAAATAATCAAATTTTTATAATAACAAAATGTGATTGTGTTATTAGTTAATTATATATACTTTCTTGAATTTTAATGAAAGTAATTTTTAAATAATAATCAACTGTTAAGAGTGTTGTGAATATACAAAATATATACGAGTAATATAGGACATAATATATACGTGTATACTTTCAATTAAGAATGTACTTACGACAAATTTCTGTCAGATTTTTGCAACATGTTGTTGGGTTTTGCCGTATATAGCAACTATCTTTTACTTCTATTTCGGTACATTTAAAATGGTCCACACAGTGAAACGCAGCACTATATGGATAAATTGCAGTTTAATCAAAAAATTTTAATGATCTTTACACATTTTCTATAAATTAACTGTAATTGATTAAACATTTGATATTTTTACGTGATTAAATACATTTTTTTATATCATATACATCTTTTTTATAAGCTTTACATTGTAAAATGATAGTTTACAGACGAAAAATTTAGATACTCTAAAGTAAATAAGTGACATGTAACTGTTCGATAATCAGAAATCTGGCAAGTAGCTATTACGAATAAAGACAAATCGCTTCAAATATGAAATGCATTTAATATGATAACATATAATTTAAATTAAATAACATCATCTCGTCTGAAATATGAAATGCATAGCAATACGAGCAATAATTTTCGAAAAATTATTATTAATAAGTAATTGATATAAAGAAAATACTCAGCTATTTTTACAAAAATATATAAAATTGCATATTGCAAAATGTGAAAAAAAAAATGTTCTTTAAATATAAAATTTTATAGCTTTTTTTATGGGGGGCATGTATGACAAATAAGCTTAAAATCGTGTTAATCGTGTGTATGTGTGTATTGTTATTATTTTCTTTAGCTATTTTATTTTCATATAATTTATTTATAATATAGACTATCTTGCTCGATAGATTATATATATAATACTGTTAATTATTAAAAATAGTGCATCTGATTTTTTTTTTGGGGTGAAATAATTTAATTTATTTATTTCAATGTCGTACTTACATTTGATTCTTGCTTAATGAGAGTTTGCAAATGCATGAGACATCGCAAACATTTGAATCCTTACTGTTAAGGAATTGGTTAGGATTATATGTACGACCGTTGATGTAACACTTATCTCTAGATCTTTGTTTGATATGGTTACAGTTGAACCTTTTCGGGCAATTGTCCTCGTCGTCGTATATTGGCGTGCACCCGAGATCCTTATAATACGTCAATGGACCCAGGCATTCAGATGTGTCTTTACGAAAAAGAAATATCGAAAAAAAAGTTCAACAATTATAAACGGATAAAATTAATTCGCATCACGTAGGTTTTCTATTTTTTCTATTACTAATTATATTATCAGTCTATCGATGTGATATTTGGCTAATTTTATATGGAAGTGTCAGGTTCTAAATATAGTTAAAGCATAATGACTCAAGCGATAAAGAATGAGATATTGATTTTTCTTTTCGATTTACCTTGATCAACTGCAACAATGGCGGCGACGAACGCCACGTAGACGCACAATTGAACACAAACACGTGTGCATCCCATGATCGCATCCAACACACGCAAATACGTTATAGACTGCGTGTCCGCATTACATTATTTACACTCTTGCGACTACCGATTCGAGAAGGGTTGCGAGGATGTGAAGGAACATACGTGAGAAGTTTAAAAATAAATATAAGAAAAAGAAGTCTAAATAGAAAGAATAGTATAGAAGAATTTAAACGTTGTATACAATCCATATAAATATTTAGAGTTATAATCATATATGTTTTGATCAGTACAAAGAACAGTGTGTGTGTGGAAGATATCTTCATTTTTAAACGAATTTAAAATCTGTATTTTTAAACGAGGGGGTAACTTAATGTAATCGTAGGACAGAATCCTCGAAATCATTATAAAATTCATATGAAATCTCTATGTATAATCTGATAATTACATATGCAACCACAAGAAATCATTGTATAATATTAAATAAAATCGTATATTTTACCAAATTACTTCATATGTAGTGAAAAAAATTATTTGTAATCAGATAAAATCATATGAAATCATGTAATCTGTGGTACAATCTTTCAGCTGATTACTCCCCCGTTTTTAAAACTTTTCATTAAAAGCGCAATTGCGTGTTAAACATTTATGCCCTTATTCATAATTAGACCTTGTACTTAAGGCTTCCTTAAATTTATCTTTAGATGTTCAGTAGCCAATGAAATAATTCGTAGAGTATCTAAAGATAAATTTAAGGAAGCCTTAAATATAAGGCATGACTATGAATACAGGCATTAATTACAATAAAATTCTTGTATTATTATAATACGTCGTTCATAAAAAATTAAGAATTAATTTAATTTCGGGTAATAGACAAAAAAAATTAATGTCCTTTGTGCGTGTCTCGAGTCTGAGGCGTAATCGTTTTTTGGAAGTATAACGCTCGCTGCTTGAATGTGAGAGGGGTGGGAGTGACCGCGCGGAGCTCGGTGGTGACTCGGCGCTTGCTTCAGTTAGTTCGCTCGCGACCTTCACGTCGGTAGTGCCGGAGCGTCGCTGGCGGGTTTTTTCCTTCTTTCTCGCGTGCGGCTAGTTTCTCGGTTCAGAATTTTGGAGTAATCTCTCTCTGTGAAAAGTGTGGCGCCCATTCCCGCAGACGGATGTTCCCGCGTGGACGGAAAGAAAGTAAGACATTAAATTTCTACTAATTCATATACGTTATACGTGCGAGATCGCCAACCACCGTGGTGGCGTGTCGCGTGGTGCGGTGGTGATTTCTTCTCGTCATCTACACTCGGAGGAGCAGAGTGAATGCGCGCCGGTAAGATTCCTCGTCTCCGAGAGCAACAAGTGAGCGCGTTCGGAAATATCTGTCGAATTTTTCGATCCTGCGCGTCGGCCGCGAATTCGAAGCGCGGAGCAGTGAATCGCACTCGTGGCTAAGTTCAGGTGATTCGAGTTTTCGCTTCCGCGGAAACGTTCGCGTCGTGTTCGTCATTTCGGAATATCGCTGGGGGGGAAATTCGTGAGTGCGTGACATCGAGAATCAAATCTGACGTGTCATTGGATTAACGTGTGCCGACGGCGAAGAGGGAGGTGCGGCGCGTAGCGTCGCTCTGAAGTTGTCCGATGGAGACGAGATAACGCGGCGATAATCGTTCCGGAAATCTCGTCGTGTAATGCGTTTCGGTATGATCGAGTGGGGTTCAGAAATTCGCGATAATCGTCGACGAATCGTCAGCGAAACGGAAGCGCGACGACGAGGTGTGGATAAGTTGCTGACTTCCGCGCGCGATCTATCATCACGAGGCGATCAACATGGCGATACAATAATGCGACGCGAATCGATGAATGACGAGAGTCGGAGCGGAGTGAGACAGTAATTTTTCACTCGGCGTTTTTCTTTTTTATTCTCTTTTTCTCCATTCGACGATTTACGGACTATGTGAGTGCCTCCTGTCAATGATCGCCTTTGTTCGGTGGTGTCAAGGAATTATAGGAATCCTCGTGGACCATGGCCACTGCCACGAAGAAGGGACATGCTGGCAACGTCACGTTACGCCTCCTCGTTGTTGTCTTCTCGTTGTTCCTGAGCGACCTGAAAACAGCCGTCCAAGCACGCGGGTTTAGACACAGTCTTAAACAAGGTAAATATCTCCTATTTGCTACGCTAAAAAATTTACTAAATTTTAATAAATATTTAGTTGAATAATAAAATATTAAAATATTAAATACTAAATGTAAACATATATTTATTTGGTATAAGAACCATTAATTTGATTTAAAAATCGTTTTATTTATTATAGATAAATGTTTCATTAGTATTATTTAAACAAATATTAAAATTTAGAAATTTTTTAAGATATATTTATTGCTTTTAGTCTTCTAAGATAATCTGATTTAGTGTTTTTGAATCATAATATTCGGCATCGAATAATTTTATTGAATAAACATAAATAAATGTATATTTTAATTTTCATGCTTTTTAATGACAAAGTTTTTTATGTTTTGAATATTTTTTTTATTATAAATTTCTACAGTTGACTTCTGTCAATTAAATGCGTCTTGGAAGAAACTTTAGAGAACAATGAAACAATCATAATTTAGAGAGTTATTATTTTATAATTATTTCTGAAATTTTAGCATTAATTTATTCATTGCATTACGAATAAAAGTTTTTTTTAAAGAAATAATTTAAAAAACATTGATCCAAGAGCAGTTTTAGAAATGCAATAAATATTATTAAAAAGAAATAAGGAAATAATAAAATTTTAACTTTGATATATTCGAAAGTAAAATGAAATTTTATACTGATATGATACAATCAAAATCAAATATTGATATAATAACTGGAGATTATTGAATTTCAAACAATATCTATATTTTTATTGAAGTTATAATATTTTATTTGTTCTAATTGCAATGTGTTATTTAAAATAGAAAATTTTGTTTTATTTATATAACATTTTAGTCTATAAAAAATTAAGATATTCTGTATGTTACAAATTATTTTATTTTTTGAAGACATATTATACGTTTTCTTTCTTTGGTTGTATTCGACAGAAAAATCAGCTTTGTAATTGTTATAAGATTTCTTAATATGATTGGTTTATACAGATCCAGTGATGAACTATAAAAGGTAAGACCGGTTATATCAAAGAATTTTATAATTGCAAAGCTGTTTGTTCTGCTAAACACAGCCATCTGATGCGATTTATATTTTCATTCTGATTCATTTTATTGAACTATTTCGAACTTTTTGACATACTTCGCACGATGAGATCTTTATTTCCATTTATGCATGTATGCCTTTTAAATGCAGATTACGATATCATTGCCATGCGGCCACTGACGCGTTATGGCGTTCGGATTTGCATAAGACGTAAATATTACACATACGCGTAGAATACAATCATTTGTCCGTAACGTATATATTGAACGTTATTCAAATTGTGGTGCAGTAACAAAACGCCTCGAGCTTGTCGCGATTGAATTTTAGTGGGAGCAAACTGCCTGCTTTTAAGAAAATCAATGCTGTTTTATGCACTGTAACATGTTCATATATATTTATATGTATATCATATTTATGCACATAATTTTTTTACACTAATACAATTACCAATTCTTTACATAAATCATAGTCAAATATTATTAATAAATTATTTAAAACCTTCAGCTTCAATCAACCATAATTGTATCGGGGACATTCGCGAATGAAGTTGAAGGCATTGAATAATGAAGACAATCAATAATATATTCAACTGTAATTAATGTATGTAATCGGTTGATTGAAGCTGAAGGTTTTGAATAATTTATGAATAATATTTGACTATGATCTATATTATATATTTTCATAGAAATATATACTTTAATAAAAGATACATAGGTAATTATTTTTAAATATGATAACGTTCATCGTTACACTTTAACTAATAATATTATAGAAGTACCAAGGTTCTCACATTTAAATAGAAAATCAAGTAAATGAATTACTATGAAAATAAAAAAAGTGATGAAAAACCAAATATTTCATCAACATAAAGGATATAATTATTAAAAAGTCAATAAATTTTAGAATCTTGTCTTTCACAAAAATATTAATCTAAAAAATAAAAACGATCGCTCAATATTTCTACATGGAAAAAAATTTTTTATTGAAAATGAACGAACGAAAAGATTCTGATCGTATCAATCAGAATTCTAGTTATCTCAATTAGAATTATGATAGATTCAACCAGAAAATTTCGATTTGTCCATTTTTAACCGGAATTCTAATTAATGCAACCAGACCCTTTTTCTAATATAGTGTTAAATGTTCAATCGCCATCTCATAAATTATTTTCTAACGTCTCGGTCAGCACGGAAGTTAATTAACCGATAAATCTTGCACCGGATTGCACTTTTGAGACACGATCCATGTGCATAACGACACCCACGCGATGCTGCGCCACGTATCCCCCGATGATATTTTCCCCGAGATTAAATCTCTCGCACTGCGTGGCGCCTCTTGTGGTTTTCTCTCGCGATAACGTGTAATCTCGCTTTTTAAATTTTCGGCTGGTTTCCGGCATGACACGAGGCAAAAACTATGCAGTCCCGGACGTGATGCGTGTGCGGTCTTTTAAAATATTGCCTTTCGGAATTTTCATTCCGACCGAATCCCGCGCGACCTCGTAAAACGTGTGTCTGGTCCGAGAATATTAAGCGTCAGGACATTCCTCAGCCTCCTTCTTCTCTTTGGGGGTCTCTTTGCTTTATATTTAGCAACACGACGACGACCGCCTCGAATCTCCACCGTAGGGCGCATCGCGAGTGCGAACGCACCCTTTTACCTCGTTACTCCAGGGCGATCAAAGGCGGTCTCTCTCAGGGATATCGATTCTCTCATATCGGCGATATCGCGTGTAACGTGCGCACTCGAACGATGAGTAACAAAAATGCCGAGAGACAGGAGAAACACATGGAGAGAGAAAGCGCGAAGAGGGTAAAGCGTTTCCGGCCGGTGTAATTTAATGTAATTTATGAGCGGCTGGACTTATCCGCGGAGGATTTAT